CACACACACACACACACACACACTCACACATACACACACACACGCGTGCGCGCTTGCACGCACACACACACATACAAACACATATACACACACATACACATACATACACATGCACACACATAGACACACATAAACACCAGCACGCACCCACAGAAACGCACGCGCACTCGCGCACCCATACACATACACGCACATACGCGTTCACACACAAACAAATGCACAACATACAGGGACACCCGTATACCCAACCACATGCCAATTACATAACTAACAATCTATACTTAAGTGTTTGAATGTATGCTTGAGATAGACGCGTGCTATACATGCAGACAGGAATTCGACCGACTCCTGCAATATGGGCAACCGCTACCTCCGTGTCACCTGTTACTTACGTTTTAGATTGGCACATGTAACCCTTGACCTAGCATCTCCTTTTGTTGCCATTTTTTTTTTTGCCACAAAAAAGGCTAAAGTTGCCATCAATTTTCAAGTTTTCAGCTCTCTGTGACGACGTCTACAGGCATACGTTCATTGAGGCAACTTAATCTAAAGCACCAGAATTTCTTTGGGCTCTGTTTTAAGCATCCAGAATATTAATTGTTGCCACACAGAGTGCAAAAACGTGAAAAATAAAGGTTTCACAACTGAATGAAATCAAAATTAGAACAGCACATAAACAACCACAAAAATTAACAAGTATAAGGGCGTGCGTCCATCTATCCGAAGATTGGCCGTTTTAACCCTAAACATGCGTAATTCAAGATAAAGTACAGAACACGTAAGAGGCCTGTGTCAGCACATGTGTTCGGTTTTGGTGGAGACACGCTCTAACATAACACATTTATATATTTAAAAAGGTAGGAACAACAAATTACATTACATTTACGCTATATATAAACCCCCCAAAAAAAAGAAAAACAACACATCAAAACAATAGCAAGAAAAAAATTAACACAAAAACACAGTAAAACACAACAAAGAGGGAACAATAAAAGAGAAAAGCAATATATAACTTTAAAAGGATGTAATGGGGTAATATTTTTCACATGAAAATAACAAATCAACGTAGTGTAAACTAAAAGTGACAAAACAACGAAGTGAAGTGGAAGTGAAAATATAAACTTTCTTTCTAAAAGTAAAGAGATTCGATTTCTTTCTTTTTTTCAGATATTTACTCCACCTTTTTTCATTTTTTTTTCCCGGCGGTTTTATTTTTATTTATTTTTTATTAGTTTTTTGGGGAGTTTTTTTTTTTTTAAGAAAGCAAAAATCGCCGGGGTGATTCGCGGACGAAAAAATGACAAAAATCGCGGGCAGACACTAGCTTGGCCCGTCCGTCATCTTTTCCCGCTTCTGAGGGATATGCAAGTCCAAGGGAAAACATTTTTATTTCTGTCTCACGCTGTGAGGGTTTATACAGGCGGAGAGAAAAACCATTGAGGCAGTGGACCTTGAAGAGGAACAGACGGCGAGAGAGGGAGTGAGAGAGAGAGAGAGAGAGCAGGTAAAGAGAGACACAGAGAGAGAGAGAGAGGGGGGGTGGAGAGAGAGGGAGGGAGAGAGAGAGCAGGTAAAGAGAGAGAGGGGGGAGAGAGAGACAGAGAGAGAGAGAGAGAGAGAGAGGGAGAGAGAGAGAGAGAGAATGGGGGGAGGTGGGTGCACTGTGCAATGCGGATATCAGAATTTGGCACACTTCTCTTTCCATTTTTTGTATAGAGCAGATCCTCGCGCTCACAAACAAATAAACACTCGCACACACACACACACAAACCCACATGCACATGCACACACACACACACATACACACACACACACACACACACACACACACACACAATATATATATATATATTTATTTTTTTTAGTAGTAGTAGTAGTAGTAGTAGTAGTAGTAGTAGTAGTAGTAGTAGTAGTATACAGGGGCAGCTCGTGGTTTGTAGAACTGACCGGCTGTAAGTGTAAAATCCCCCTAAAAACCGCACCTATACAAAACATACACACACACGCATACACTAATACATACACACATAGACACACATATGCACACGCAAAGACAGACAGACAGACAGACAGACAGACAGACAGACAGACAGACAGACCAACAGACAGACACACACTGACAGACATATAGACAGACATATAGACAGAAACAGACAGAGACAGACAGATAGACAATCTGTCCGTTTTTTTGTCTGTGTACGCACATATGTGTGTGTGTGTGTGTGTGTGTGTGTGTGTGTGTGTGTGTGTGTGTGTGTTTGTTTTGTAAATGCGTGCGCGCTTGCACTGCACTAAACACCCACCCACACACACATTGAACAGATTTAGCACACAACAATGTCCGGTCATATTCAATTTTTTTTCTCTTCATTGCGCTCTCCTCAGGTTCTCAGAACACTTCTGATTTCTATGTCGGGCACTGTGTCAAATGCTAGATCTAGATCTAATTGTAGAAATTATAGTCCAGCGCTGGGGTGGAGGTGGGAAAGGGATGGGGCGGGTGTATTGTTTTAGCCCAAGACCCTGACAGCCGAAAGAGGCCTTGCTCTCTCCCTGTTAAAATATCTTCTAATACATTCCAACTGGGCGGTTCGCTTCATAGCCCTTGGCCAGGTAAGGTAACTCCGGAAAGTAGGTGATGAATAGAACGCCAAACAGAACCATGGGTGGCTTAAAATTAATATGACATTAAAGGAGGGGGGGGGGGTGGTCTCGTGATCTAGAGGTACAGTGCTCGCCTTTCATTCATTAGGTCCCGAGCTCGAAACTTTCCCATAGAGTGCAGACAAATCGCTGTTGTCACAAAGAGACATGGTGGCTTTAAGACGAGAACCTCCTCAATCGATAGAAAACTGGACGATGGATTGGAACGTGTAAAATTCTTGTCTATTGTGACACAATCGTTTTCATTGAACTAAAACAATGGCCTTAGATCCAGATCCAGATCAACATCGTTTGCACGGGCAGAGGGAATCTGATAAGAATAAAGCAAAGGTATACACTTTTGAATTTCAATATGCTCAAAGAGTAAGTGATTTTACAAGCTGCAATGAAAAGGACAGTATTCATGCACTTGCAGGGTTCCATTCACGAACAGACATTGACTAAACAACCACTGATTTGTAGTAGTGACAATGGCAGGAAGCAGAACATTCTTACATAAGATATGTTCATTGTTGAAGTGTCATTTGTTTGGTTCACTTGAATCAATGATGATTTTGCCCTTTGTACTGCCCTTCAATCTTCGATCTCCAGTAACGTTACTCTAACAAATAAAAACTCTGTACATCCCTTTATACTCTTATTTAAACTGTACCACTGTACCCCTGTTTCGTAACTCTAGACCTAGACCTTTCTTGAAACATACTTTCAAGTCAAATGAATTATTGCAGTTGAGGAAGACAGTAAATATGTTCTTTATGAATGCACTGCCGAATACCACAATGTTACAGGTTTTTTGTTGTTTATTTTTGTGAAGGGAGGGGGGTTGCAATTGCATGTTTAACACTTCCACGCTTGTAATGGTCGTAAAGTACTGCTAGTAGTTGCATGTTTAGCACTGCAAAACCTTTTTTTTCTTATATCACATCAGATCAAAATTATGGGTGGTGAATTCTCGGCGTCAAAATCTTATTGAAAAAGAGCACTCCCAACTTACCAGTGTCCTGTGCTCCAATCATTTTGATGATAACCAATGCATAAACCCGCTCATTAAACACCAATAATTGAACTAAACTACTGTGTCCAGCCTATTTGACGTGCCAAATCATGCACCTGAACACTTGACCCCCAAAAGTCCACCACCCAGAGAAAGAAGACTTTTAAGCATTACAACCATGTCTTTCACGAAGTCTTGCCAATGCCTGTACACGTAAATAAAAGCTCCTTCTCCTGCACCTACATGCAAGCATGTTACTCTGTCGCCGCAAAAAAAGAAAAATGAAGAACCGAATTGCTGCTTTACAAAAAAAGCTTCAAAACAAAAACTCTCCAGTACAACAAACAGAAGATTACTGAAAGAAAGGTGAACATAACAGATTTGAGAGGGCATCTCTCACAGTAACTTAGTGGCACTGGCTTAGACTTTGTCATGACACAGATAACAATGAACAAAAAAGGTAATAAAGATTATCGTTGTACCCACGAAATGAAGCGATTTACTTTGTCCATGCTGCATTCTTTCCAAAGAACATCGTCTCTTGTGAAAGTTACATGTAATTACTGCACTGTCTGTTAGTATACTGAAGACGTCATTGAAGAATGTAAACACAGAGCCAGGATTTTGCCCACCTATCATTCAATTAAGCCCTCAAAGAAAAAGTGTCCATGATGAATCCATCAGATTAGGTGTGCTCACTTATATTCGATGAAATATCAATAAAAGAGCAAGTGGTGAACAATGTCAACAAGGACTGCATTGATGGTCTAGAAGACTTTGGTACTTACCTTCGGTCTAAAGTTTAGTACTTGTGGTCAGATGACTCGCTTTCAAATGGAAGCAGCCAATAGGATACTGTTTTTCTACTGGTCCCATAAGTGAAGACATCTTCCGAGCCCTCAAAAAGGAAGCCTTGAGCACACTTTCGGAGATTGGTAGAAACGTTAAAGCCATTATTTGTGACCTGGGTTTTAAGAACCGAGCATCCCTACGGGTACTTGGAGTGTTAGTGGACAAATCATACATTGAGCAGAACGGCCATAAGGTTTTAATCTTATTTGAGCCTCCCCATCTCTTTAAAA